TCCGCCTTCAGCTATAAAACCCATAATCAATTTAAAGATGAACCTGAGAATGGAGCTGTGGGGGGGGGGACAGGTGTATGTCCTGCAGCAGAGACGGGACCAGGTGGGCCGTCTCATCAGGAACAGACTGAACCTGCTGCATGAAACATTAAAACCAGATTCACTCTGATTAAAGGACCGAAATCTACAAGTTAACAGGACAGAGTCACATGACCGAAGGTAGACGTCTGTGGAACAACACCGAGACAGGCCTCAAGGTTAGCTCAGGTTAGAGTAGGTTAACTCAGATTTAGGTTAGATTAGCTCAGGTTAGATTAGGTTAGCTCAGATTTAGGTTAGATTAGGTTAACTCAGATTTAGGTTAGATTAGCTCAGGTTAGATTAGGTTAACTCAGATTTAGGTTAGATTAGGTTAACTCAGATTTAGGTTAGATTAGGTTAACTCAGATTTAGGTTAGATTAGGTTAACTCAGATTTAGGTTAGATTAGTTTAACTCAGATTTAGGTTAGATTAGCTCAGGTTAGATTAGGTTAACTCAGATTTAGGTTAGATTAGCTAAGGTTAGATTAGGTTAGCTCAGGTTAAGTTAATGTTATATCAGATGAGATCAGGTTAGTTTAGTTTAGTTTAGGTTAGTTTAGTTTAGTTTAGTTTAGGTTAGTTTGGTTTAGTTTAGTTTAGTTCAGTTTAGTTAAGGTTAGTTTAGTTTAGTTTAGGTTAGGGTTAGGGTTAGGGTTAGGGTTAGTTTAGGTTAGTTTAGTTTAGTTCAGTTTAGTTTAGTTTAGGTTAGTTTAGTTTAGTTTAGGTTAGTTTAGTTTAGGTTAGTTTAGTTTAGTTTAGTTTAGTTTAGTTTAGTTTAGTTTAGGTTAGTTTAGTTTAGGTTAGTTTAGTTTAGTTTAGTTCAGTTTAGTTTAGGTTAGTTTATTTTAGTTTAGTTTAGTTCAGTTTAGTTTAGTTTAGTTTAGTTTAGGTTAGTTTAGTTTAGGTTAGTTTAGTTTAGTTTAGGTTAGTTTAGTTTAGGTTAGTTTAGTTTAGTTTAGTTTAGGTTAGTTTAGTTTAGTTTAGTTTAGTTTAGTTTAGTTTAGGTTAGTTTGGTTTAGTTTAGTTCAGGTTAGTTTAGGTTAGTTTAGTTTAGTTTAGTTCAGTTTAGTTTAGTTTAGTTTAGGTTAGTTTAGTTCAGTTTAGTTTAGTTTAGTTTAGGTTAGTTTAGTTTAGTTTAGTTTAGTTTAGGTTAGTTTAGTTTAGTTTAGTTTAGTTTAGTTTAGTTTAGTTTAGGTTAGTTTAGTTTAGTTTAGGTTAGTTTAGTTTAGTTTAGTTTAGTTTAGTTTAGTTTAGGTTAGTTTAGTTTAGTTAAGGTTAGTTTAGTTTAGTTTAGTTTAGTTTAGGTTAGGTTAGGATACAGGGACTTGATCCTGGCAGATAAACAGTTTCATCATTATTTTATTTTTAATGTTTACAAACAAAAGTTAGAGGAGAAAGAAATGAAACAGATGTTGTTGTTTAAAGGAGGAGTCCTAACCCCGCCTCCTCGTCTCTCTCTGTTGTTTAAAGGAGGAGTCCTAACCCCGCCTCCTCGTCTCTCTCTCTCTGTTGTTGTTGTTTAAAGGAGGAGTCCTAACCCCGCCCCCTCCTCGTCTCTCTCTGTTGTTGTTGTTTAAAGGAGGAGTCCTAACCCCGCCTCCTCGTCTCTCTCTGTTGTTGTTGTTTAAAGGAGGAGTCCTAACCCCGCCTCCTTGTCTCTCTCTCTCTCTCTGTTGTTTAAAGGAGGAGTCCTAACGCCCCCTCCTCGTCTCTCTCTGTTGTTGTTGTTTAAAGGAGGAGTCCTAACCCCTCCTCCTCGTCTCTCTCTGTTGTTGTTGTTTAAAGGAGGAGTCCTAACCCCGCCCCCTCCTCGTCTCTCTCTGTTGTTGTTGTTTAAAGGAGGAGTCCTAACCCCGCCTCCTCGTCTCTCTCTCTCTGTTGTTGTTGTTTAAAGGAGGAGTCCTAACCCCGCCCCCTCCTCGTCTCTCTCTGTTGTTGTTGTTTAAAGGAGGAGTCCTAACCCCGCCTCCTTGTCTCTCTCTGTTGTTTAAAGGAGGAGTCCTAACCCCGCCTCCTCGTCTCTCTCTCTCTGTTGTCGTTGTTTCAGGGGGACGACTGCTCCATCAGCTGTCCCGTCGGTCTGTACGGGACTAACTGCTCCTCCTCCTGCTCCTGTCACAACGAGATGTCCTGTTCACACACCGACGGCTCCTGTATCTGCAGAGAAGGTCGGACCGCACTCAGATTAACAACAACAACAACAATAATAATAACAATAACAATATTATATATATATAATATAATCATCATCATCATCATTGTTATTATTAGAATGATTATTGATCATGGATCTGATTGGTCCAGCTGTGGACTCTGTCTCAGGTCCTCCAGCTCGTAGTTTCAGAGCGTCTGTCTCTGAAGGACGGGTCAGGTGAAGTTCGGTCCATTTCAGCTCAGCTGGTTCTGGTTCTGATGGAC